TTAGGCAAGTGCTATTTAATTGGCAACATTTGTAGAAATATTCTTTAATTTTCAGGTGTTTATAAATATGCCTATATACAAATCTTAAACACTGTCTTGGATCAGATTCTAGGCACACTCAACTCTTCATATTCTAACGAATATGGCTTTGCTACATAGAATAATACATTCCTTCAAAATAATATTCTGAAGTTCTGAGGACTGGGGGGAAAAAGTAATATTTCTGAGGAAAAAAATATTTGCATGCCCTACACCAACTGAGCAAAACTGCCCTTTAGATCATGGCCTGGGAAGGTCCTTGTTCCACTACTCCTTATCTGTACAATGGGAAGACTACTACACTCCTTAAGCTTCTTGTTCTGGTAAATGTAATTAGACATTGTACAATGTTGTTGTGGGCAAAATATCTTTCATCTGATCCTTTTTATATGAAATGCCCAGGTGATACTACTTATCCTCATTCTGTCAAATCTAACCTTCCTCCAAGTAGCAGAACCTGAAGTTGTAAGGGAAAAGAGGGGTCACAATGTGTGTCCAGCCCATGTACTGCTAATCTCTAAGAGCAAAAGCGTTGTTGATGGATTACATTCAGGTCTTTACCACTCTTGCATGAAACAAAAATCTAAATCCATCTCTCAAGGCAGCTTGCTCCATTTCACTACACGGCTTAGGCAGATGGGGAGAAGAGTCACCAATCAGCTTCCCCTCCCCCCCCCAAGCAAATCAATAGATGCTGGGGAATTCCAGTGTCTTCCCATTTTAATAACTGGGGCGAACCACCTCCAGAAGTGGATGCTTCTGTCATAGCTTGTCATAGCTGCTGCTCATCTCAGCTTCTTCAGAAGACCATCAAATGATCCTCAGAAGACAGTCAAGGATACTGGGATCGACATTCAACATCAACCATTCGTGGGCCAATGTGACTATAAGGGCTCAGAACTGAGCCCTTGTAGTCTTTTATAACAAATTATAGGATACAAGTTAGTTATTACAAGAGCCGTGGTGGTGCAGTTGTTAGAATGCAGTATTGCAGCTGGCTCTGCTCACTGCCAGGAGTTTGATCCTGACAAGCCTCAAGGTTGACTTGGTTTTCCATCCTTCTAAGATAGGTAAAATGAGGACTTAGATTGTTGGGGCCAATATGCTGACTGTAAACTGCTGTAAAGCACTAGGAAGCGATATAAAAGTCCAAGTGCTGCTGCGATTGCTATCCTGAAAGTATGCATCTTGATGATCAGGGAAAGATATGGCATGAAAATACAGCACTATATTAAAGTTATAAGGCAGAACTAAATTTTAATTTTCTTTTTTCCTGGTAGCAGAAAAGTAAGAGTTTACTGGATTGAAGAACTCTTGCATGGAAGGAATTTACAACCATGGAGTCAACTCAGTTTTCAGCACATGTTAAGGTGTGGAACTGACCAAAAAATTGACACAATGTTAGTATCACAGGGTAATACAAATTGTTCCTTACAGTTGTTTCCCATGGGAACATTAACCATCATGTTTTGACTGCAGTGGGATAAGTTTGGATTATTTGAATGGCTCAGTTTGTCATTAAAAGCAGATAAAAAAGGGACAATAAAGCAGTTTTAAAATCAGTGTTATGCAAATCAAGAGGAGGATAAATATCATAATTTACTGTAAACTTGACAATGAATTATTTGTTTGCAAAAATCCCTTGGACTTCGTTGACATGGGCCATCAAACTGTATATAAACCATATTATAATAATTTCCCGTCCAAATTTATTTTTAGGGAAAGAAAAAAATATATGCATTTTCTCCTCCACTGCATTACAATTTAATCTGCTGCCTTAGGCCAATCTTGTCAATGAAGTATTGCGCTGAAGGATGGTTACTCTTAGGATTAAAAAAATTAAAATATTTTTATATTAATCAAGCCAACAAATGAGTCAAGGAATGGATCTTTCTGAAGAGCATTAGAGGAGACAAGTTGCCCCGTCTTGTTTGATTTGGCACTCAAGGAACATAAGTATGCACTGAAGCTGCTGCAACTTGCCTTATCTTTACCTGAAAACATAAAGTTTCCTTTGCCACAAGAAATGCTCCAGAGGTATCATACAGTGCATAAATATGTCTGCCAGATGACAAAAATGTACACAGGCTGCCTAGTGAGAATGGGACGCTGGGGTGGAGCTTCCAAATAGAGACAAATCTGTATCCCTCAGGGAATTTGCAATGGGTTGATCTATGTAAGAGATATTTCTCTGCTAATTAAGTCTTGATCCTTTGGCTGCACTTGAAAGAAATCAGGAGTGTATCAAGTGTTCCAAGCAGGTGCTGACTAGCTCTGAAACACTGGTCCCTCAAACCAGGTATGGGGCTTAACAACAGCAAAAGTGAGAGAGCAACTCATTTTAACAGATACGGTGTGTGGGACCCATTTCCAATTATAATAATTCATTAGGAACAGTGTTAAAATGACTGCCATGTTGATTGGGTCAACAGGATGCTTTCAGAATAAAATCAGCATCAACCATGAAAGAATTTCTTTGCTTTTCATGGCTGAAGAATTCTTATGAAAAGAAAATTGGCAAAGGCAGGAAATTTACAATTAAAGTGCAGGATGGCAGTTCAACGCTTGATCCCTGAAGAAAGTTGTACTTTGTGGTGGAAAGCCCACATTAACTGTAGTGGACAAAACAGAGCAAATGGACAAGGCTGCCCTTTCCATAATATCATCTCATCTGTCTCTCTATCTCTCTGCCTCCTGCTTATTTATATGCACCCTCTTTTTAGAATCTATAAATCATTTATTTAAGATAGTGGCTCACAGGACCAGACCATGTTCAATTCCCTAGTCAGCTATGTTTATTTATTAGTCTTCAGTCAAAATTGCTATTTTAATACTAACAATTGATTTTTTGTAAGATACACTTTGATGCCTTCAACAATAAAAGGAAAAATCTATACATCTGAGTTCTATGAAGCTTTCTTAAAAGTTGTTTGGGATGATAGCTAGTGTTTAATGTTACCTGAAATATAACAAAGCAGCTAAAGCAGGGGTATCAAACTCAATTTCATTGAGGGCTGCATCAGGGTCGTGTTTGACCTCGGAGGGCTGGGGGGCATGGCTGGGAGGGTGTGACCATGGTGGGTGTGTCCAGCTTGAGATGACTTGTGTCGGGGGCACTTATGGTGGACAAGTGCTAAGGCAGAACTCTCCTAAGACCCTCCCTCACTCTTATCTCCTTCCTTCCTTCCTCCCTCCCTCCCTTCCTCCCTCCCTCCGTCCCTCCCTCCCTATCTTCCTTCCTTCCTTCCTTCCTTCTTTTTTCCTTCTCTCTTCCTTCTCCTTTCTTCTTCCTTCCATTCTCATATTTTCCTTCCTTGCTCTCTTCCCATTTTCCCTTCTTTTTCTTTTTCTTTCCTCTTTCCCTTTCTCCTTTCCTGTCCCTTCTTGCATGCTCAAATGCAAAAGGGGAAACATTTCTCCTTTTGTTTTGTTTTTAGTTTGTTTTGATAGCCCTCTGCCAGTGAAAAAGGAGCTTGGGGGCTGTGCGCGACCCCGCACCCCATTTTCAGCCATGACAGCCTTCTGCAGCCCTCTGCCAGTGCAAATGGAGTTGGAGGGGCCACACACCTCTCCCTGAGCTCTGTTTTCACTGGCAGAGGCACTGCAGGCTGGTCCTTTGCTGTTTCCAGGCTGGCCCCACAGGCCAGATCTAAGCACCCCATGGCCCAGATCCTGCCCATGGGCCTTGAGTTTGACACTCCTGAGCTAAAGGGTCCATGTTGGACAGAGTGTCCCTAGTACAAGAATCTGACACAAACTACTATAAGACAATGTACATATCATAAAGGCTCTGAAAGTTCGAAAAGAACTGAAAGTTCTTCTATTATGAATGTTGCAAAATCCCACATTTAAGTACACTAATCTGCCCATTCTACATAGAAAAAAAGTCTTATACTAAGCCAGATTGATGTGTTCTGTCAGCAAGCATTAAAACCTGTGCGCCAAAATCTCAGGTAAAGATTTTTTCCCACGCCATTTCCTTGCTGCTGCTTAGCAAATTGAAAAAAAAAAATGTAGCTCCCAAATGATAGACAGGGTCCATATAGCTTCCCTCCAAAGCAGGAATGGAATCCTTGAGTTGTTTGCTTGTTTGATGTAGGAAATCTGTCTAACCTTCGATTACCGACTTTCAGGAAGATGTTCTGCTTCCCAATCTGAAATGAGTGATTATATTGTTCAATATGGGAGATGGATAATTCTCCCTCATTCAAGTGTTGCAAGGGATATGAAAGTGACTTGAGCTGGGAATGGAATTTCTGTCCATTAATAAAGAAGAGTTAGGCTTTGGAGTTTTTATGTTCTTGTTACAGATTTAATCCCAATTCTAGGGAACATGTTGAAGACTGGAAAAAAAATCATTCTGGAAATGCTGCATATACACCTAATTGTTGATTTCTAGGTAACTGCTCTTCCCTAATAATCAGTTTATCAGTTTCAACTTAAGATCTGTTAAATCCACATCTTTAAACACTTCATAATAGCAGTTTACCATTCTGCTCATCTATCAGCCTTTTCTTGTCTTGGCTGAACATTTAATTTCTCTCCATTGACCATATTTTCCTTTGCCTTTAATAATCTTTCATACCTTTCTCTGAACATCTCATTTTATTTTGAGGAACATTAAAATAAACAAATAAATATAAATGTAATTAATATATTATTATCTTCAGGAGCTGTTTGCAGTGGGCCAGCATTACGATAGAAGAAATACCATGACAGTTGGCTTAGTCTTCTTTCCATCTCCCTAGCTGACAGTTGGCTTGGCCATCTTTCCATCTCCCTAGCTTGATATATAGCACCTTGAAGATCTGGAGAGTTTCCAAATACTTGGGAGCTTACACCCCACACTTGAGCTCAGAGTAACCAACTGGCAATGGCAGCAGAGAATCATCTGATTTCAGAATAGTTACCATCCGTTTCTTTGAAGTGTAAACCATAATTTTATCTCTTGTTGCAGATTGCCTGTGATACGCCAGTGCCTTGCACACAGCTGTCCTTGGGTTAGTCGGCAGGCATTTGAAGACGTGTCAGCTAACAGAGCAAAACAGACCACAGTATAATGAAGTGGCGCTCTTCAATGAAATGATTTGAATGCCTCATGTGAGTATGATTCCTTATATTTTGTCCCATAAGACCAATGACATGACAAAATTGATTCTTAAAAACCTGAGCCAACTGTCAAGGGCTTTGTTAACCAGAATGTCAAACAGGACAAAAGGTTTGGCCAGTGAAGCTTGAATAAAAAGATATTTCTTAATAAGGACCTCTTTTAGCTGATGCCTTATTAAAGACATAAGAAGGCTTGGTGATTTATAATGGAGTAGCCAATCCTATAAGCATCTTGGGTTTAATCTGTGTTAGACTTTAGATGTGGTTTTGAGCAGCTTAAAATAGATTCAGAAACTTGATTAAAAATTGGGGGATATGAGATCCTTGAGAAATACTGCTCATTATCACCCATGCTACCTAATTCTGGGCCAGTCGTAATTTCTGGACCATCTTCAGTGAAATCCAGGAAACCACATTACAATAGTTTGAGTTTTGGATTATCATCATATGAATCAGTTATATGGCTGTTCAGAGTCATGCTAGATGCCCAAACTGCAAACCTATTCTTTAAGTAGGAATGTCTGAATCTGAATTCTAGCATCTGAAATTAGTAAAAAACGGTGCCTTTTCCAAGCTTAACTTCAGCTTCTTCTCCCACATCTGGTTCTTTATAGATTGGAGATACATAGAAGCACTGGAGAAAATCACCCTCAAGCTTCAAATATAGCTGCAATTGAACAGTTTGTGAATGACAGTTAATTCCAGACCAGCAAATATTTCTTCCCAAAAGCTTCATGTGGATGTAAGTAACATGACAGACAAGTCAGAATCTACCTCAAGAAAGTTTACAAGTTTTGAGCAGAAGTCCTGAAATATTATTTCCTGATGATAGCCAGAGGAATAGGAACAGAACCATTGTGAATTATTGCCTACAAACCTCAGTCCCCACCCCAAATACTTCAACAAGTTACTGTATTCAAAGCATGATAAGCTGATGAAAGATATAGGAGTATCAAAAGAGTTGTACCTCTCATGTCTCAGGGAGACCAAGGCTGTCTCTTTTCTAAATCCAGTTCTGAATCCAGACTGAAAAGGATCAAGGTAATGTGTTTCATCTAATAGCTCCTGGAACTATAGTGCTTTACTAAAAAATGGAATATTGGACATTGGCCAACATAGGCTTGATCGCATGGCAAAGCATTATATACTGTTGTTCCATTGTATCCTCTCAGATTTCTAAATTCTAAATTTTTTTTTTAATCTGTAATTTCTCCAAAATGGGACAGAAGGTTATTTGACTTCTAAACTGGTAGTCAGAGAAGAGCTGCCTAGTATTCCACAGGATCCATTAGCTCCTTGGAACATATCCAATTATCTGGCCCTTTTTCCTACAAAGGAGAAAATGCAAAAAAAATTCATTAGACAAACCGAATTTTACTGGGCAGTTTGCTTATCATTCCCAAGATCCTATGTACACGCTCCTCCTACCAAATGGCAAAAAACCTAGATTGAAATATTATCTTTATGTAACAGATTCAGCATAATTTGTATACCTCATATTGAAGGTTGACATCCTCTAATACAAATTCCATATATTTCAGGTTTATCAGGGAATTTGCTGAGTCATGGATGGCTAACATACCAATATAATTGGTGGGTTAGCCATCACCATTCAGAACAAAGTATTGTATATAGCTCTGAAACTAATTACATTCCAATAGAAAACATGGAAATAAATATATATCCTTAGAAATGATAACAACATACCCTTCCTGACCAACAGAATTTCTAATATTCGTGTATTGATTGTCCAGCAGGAATCAACTAGGCCCACATAGGGACCCTTATCATATTCTTGCAAATCTCTGCAATTCATAACAGGCCAAACCCATAATCGTTTTTTTTTCCAACAGAAATAATTTCAGGTATCTGTGATTGCTTGGCTTAACCCCAGGAGACAGGAAAGATTGAGGTAGGATCCATTTATATTGTAACTGAACCATTAACAAATCTATCCCTTTCCTTTCTATTGTATCTTGTATTGTATCAGAATGGTTGCACAATTGGCAATTCCAAATCTCAAGTAATAAATGCTTTGTCCTACACATTGGCAATAAAATCAGAACACCAAATACAAGTTGGGCGGAAATGACCTCGTAGATGACCCTCACTCTGTCAAGGACCTAGGAATACTTATCTTAAACGATCTAAGCCCCAGAGCTCACTATAACAGCATTGTCAAAAAGGGCTTAAGAGTTGTTAACCTTATTTTGTGAAGCTTCTTCTCCGGTAACATTGAATTGTTAACTAGGACATACAAAACCTTTGCCAGACCAGTTCTTGAATACAGCTTGTCAGCCTGGAATCCACACTGTATATTGGATATTAATACGATTGAGCAGGTCCAGAGATATTTCTCGAGAAGAGTACTCCACTCCTCTACTCACAATAGAATCCCTTATGCCATCAGGCTTGAAATTTTGGGCTTGGACAATCTGGAACTGAGCTGCCTGCGATCTGATCTAAGCATAGTACACATAATTGCCTGCTACAACATCTTACCTGTCAACGACTTCTTCAGCTTCAACCAGAATAATACATGGGCAAACAATCGATACAAACTCAAGATAAACTGCTTCAAACTCAATTGCAGAAAATATGACTTCAGCAACAGAGTGGTCAACGCCTGGAATGCTCTACCCGACTCCATTGTAATATCCTCAAACCCTCACAGCTTCAACCTTAAACTGTCTACCGTGGATTCACCCCGTTCCTAAGGGATCCATAAAGGGGGCGTGCATAAGCGCACCAGTGTGCCTACCGTCCCTGTCTTACTGTCCCAATTTATCTGTACTTACTTCCTTTGTTTATTTTTATGTTTATACCTTTACCTGCTATCTTGTTCATGTTTGACAAAGTAATGAATGAATGAATGAATCAATCAATCAATCAATCAATATACTGTCAGACTATCTGAATAGGGGCAATAGTGCCTCTGGAAAAAAAATGAAAGATTTCTAGGATACAAAATATGGTCCCTAGCAAATGTTGAATTTAAAACAACCTTTTTGGCCAACTGTGCTCCATTTAGGAGTAGTACTTACAGAAAACTCACATGGCAAATAGAATCGTGCTGAAACAGGAAATACTGCATTGTGCATTATTTTGCTGCTCTTCCCCTAAACACTATGATGTCTTGGGTCTCCTCCAACTTACTTTGCCTAGGGAAAATTCCTAATGCAGACCTTTACAGATAGTCCTCGACTTACAGCAGCTCATTTAGTGACCATTCAAAATTACAACATCACTGAGAAAAGGGACTTATGGCCATTTTTCACACTTACAACCATTGCAGCACCCCCATGGTCACCTGATCAAAATTCAGATGCTTGGCAATTGGTTCATATTTATGAAGGTCTTGGGGTCATGTGATCCCCTTTTGCAACCTTCTGACAAGCAAAGTCAATGGGGAAGCCAGATTCACTTAACAACTTTGTTACTAACTTAACCACTGCAGTGATTCACTTACCAATTATGGCATGAAAAGTCGTAAAATGTGGCAAAACTCACTTAACGAATGTCTCACTTAGCCACATAAATTTTGGGCTCAATCAGTGGTGGGTTTCTACCGGTTCGCCCCGATTCCCATGAATCGGTAGCAGCAATGGAGGGAGGCTCTGCCCACCTGCCCGGACGTCATCACGGACGGTCTGTGCATATGCAGAAGGGTCTGCGCATGGGCAGAAGTGCTGTGCGCGTGCAGTCACAGTTGCAAACCGTGCAAAGGTAAGTGGAACCCACCACTGGGCTTAATTATAGGTTGAGAACTACCTGTATCAAGAAACCTGAAATAGGGCAATATAAATCTCTATTAAGTTACAAATTTTAGCGATGACCCCAAGTTTCATTGTTAAGTTTTAGCAAACAAAATACTAGTGAATCAAGAAAACAAGGAGTTGAAAAGTCTACATCATTGAGAGTATTTATTTTTGCTAGGCAGGATTTTTTTTCCTATTCATATTCAAGAGAATATGTTCTTGTCTTTCACCATTAAGAGTGCTCCAGGAATTCATAGTATGAAAGCTGCCTACATATGGATATACCATGTGTTAGGTCTCTTGTCAGACCAGATTACATTAAAAAAAGGAAAAAGAAAAACACTTCAGGAGTCCTGTGGTCTTTGTTTACTATATATACATTCTTTCCTTCGATGGCCACAGCAATTTCTTAATTACAAAAGATTTGAAATTGCACAAAGTCCAATGCTCAAATATAATCAGTACAGAAAAGTAGATGGGACAGAATTTTAATGTACAAAATTAATACAGCATTATTCTCTAAGAGATGAAATGAAGTAAATAGGATATAACTCTCTCTCTTTAAATATTTATTTATTTATTTATTGGTTCGATTTATATGCCGCCCTTCTCCGGAGACTCAGGGCGGCTTACAATGCATTAAGCAATAGCCTTCATACTTTTGTATATACCTGCTTAGTAGGGCTTTCGCCCCCCTCGCCCCCCGGGCGGTGTTTTTTTTAATACAAAGTCAGTTTATTGCCCCCACAATCCGGGTCCTCATTTTACCTACCTTCCTTGAAAGGATGGAAGGCTGAGTCAACCTTGAGCCTGGTAAGATTTGAACTTGCAGTAATTGCAGGGAGCTGGTGCTACTTAACAGCACTTTAGTCTGCTGTGCCACCAAGGCTCTTCTCTGTGGGGTAGATGATGCTGAAAGAAAGTTCACATACCATCTTAAACCATAAAGGTTGTTTACTTAGTTTGTCTGTTTGTTATGCAGACTCTGCTTCTAAATTATATTTTACAATATTACACACAATATGTAACGATTTAGCATGACCTATAAAACATCCATTGATTCTTGTTAAATTCTTTCATGTTATATTATTATTGTTGTTGTTGTTGTTGTTCAGTACTGCTTCTGTGGGTCAAGTATTTTAACTGGTATATCAGGGTTGATTTGTTGTCTTAGGTTATAAGTTTTTAGACTGAAAAAAGCCTGCATATTTCATTAAAATGAAAGAATAACTGAATAATTAATTGTTTTACTGACCAAATTTCTTGTCAAAAGTTTTGCAACTTTCAAATTTTCCAGACAATGTCTTCTTTCATTGTCTCTTTCCAACTATATACAGTTCACATCCATACTCCTATTTCTCATGCAAATTTTTATTTTATCCTAAAAATATATGTCCTATGCCCAAAGTCTTTTTGGAAGATCTTACAATGAACACACTGTTGTTTTCTAATTTTATTCTGTAATTTTTACCCAGAGTGTTGCATGTTTTCTATATGCTCATTTTAAAAATGAATTGTAAAAAGAAATCAAAATAAGACATAGTGATTATTAAGAAGGCAGTCACGTAGTACAAAGAATCAAAGCTCTGCAAATTCCAGCAAAGATTAGAGAATAGTTAAAACTTCTATAAAATCAAAGCCAACGTTCCCAGATTGAATGCTCTTGCAACTTCCATAACTCTTAAAACAGCAGGACCAAAGTTTTATGGCAATTATTGGAGCTATAGTCTAACATATCTGGAGGGCAACAAGTTAGGAAAAATTAGTTTTTGCAAAAGATCTAGTTGAGTCTGGAGTGCCAGGTAACCAAAAATAGTTTAGAAAAGAGATCCTGAGAATAACTAAAAGGTTGATTTTCATTTTCAAATGGATTAATGGAGTTGAAGCACCCAGATCGCCAGTAATTTAGAGATTTAAAGATTAAAATCAGCACTTTGTACTCAGGAATTGCCAACATAGTAGAGATATTTTTGCTTCACCCTGACTGCTACAGTCAGTCATGTAGCTTCTGAATGGCTGTTGTGTGTTTCAGAAGCAATTGCAATTTCTGAACAGGGTTCAAAGGCAGCTCCACATTCAAGGATTTTCCAATTTGATAGGGTCCTTATCTGAGTTCACAGGAATGTGGTCCTGCATCCAAAATAAAAGTAAACACTCATGGGGGGAAAAAATCATTTCTGTTGCTTTGGAAAAAGGAATTCTATAAGATCAATGAAAATGATGCAAAATATAAAATTTAGAAAGTGTACATCCATTTTCACAACGATACATAGATGGATTTGATTTGCAACATGTTAATTATTGTTTTCAGTTCTTCAAAACTGGGGCTGAATCCAAAAAGGGTTTGTAGGACATTTTGTAAATAGAGAGGATCTTCCTATAATTTCTGTGAACCTTTGTTATATGATAACCTATGCTGAAGACATAGAATTAGTTTCGAACTTCTTTCCTCAACCAAGGAGCCAATGTGCCTATTGGCATCTTCTTGATGGCCTCAAGATCCCACCTGGTTGGTGTTTCTCAAGATTCTTTTCATTTTTCAAAAAAAAAAAGGGGGGGGGAGGGGGAGGGAGCTTTAGCCGGCTACAAAGCAAAGCCTTAGGCTGAAATGCCATTTAACTCTCCCATGGGCATTTGTAGAAAATAAAATGGAAACATCCTAGCAAGCTGGAGGCAGAGGAAAGTAATTCTACCAGTTCAATTTGATGCACGATCTACATGAGTCCTATTGCTTTGGAAAGATTTTCGCTAAATCTAGACCCAATGGCAAAATGAAAAGGCTCTTTCTTACCACAAAACCAATGGAAGGGCTGTTACCTACGGACTAGGGTCATGCGTCAAAAAAAATCATAATTTATTTCAGTAAGGTTTGCTGAATAATGTACAACATACAACGCACTGAATGAGAACCAAACAACTTTGTATCTTAGTGCACCATTAGGCAAACTTGCCCCTTCCAGTGTTGCTTGTTATGTTTGGCTCGCGGGAAGAAGAGACGGACTCCAGAACTTCTATCACCAAGTTTAATCAGGTCAGAACTGCCGGCTCAGCAGCCACGGCTTGAATTTTTAAAGCCTTTCGGCTTGCTGGCCGGCCACTGACAGTAGTTCAATTTTCCCGCCACAATTCCAACCAATCCACGGTGGCCATGCAA